GAGAATTAATCGGGCGGTTTGACGAAATTCATATTTATCCAAGGCTATCTGAAATAAAATCGTAAATTAAAAATTTAAGAAGTGGTACCATAGCGAGTTTAGGACAATTAGTATTCTTATGGCAATCATTGAGTGGCCAAGACTGTTTTCCTTGGCCGTCGAGTGTTCCTTTGCCCGAGATAGAGAGGTTGTTGATGTATCTGAAATTGATCCACGTGTCATGTTTAATGTCGTTAGGGTTTGAAAGAGCCAATAAAGTACCATCGATGACGAACTCAATTTTACTTTTACACGGTCCTACGAATTCTACACCAACGAGATAGAATGTTCCTTCTAGAAGCCTAATTCAGCCTGCAAGATTTAGCTCTAGGTGATTTGTGTAGTTAATTCTGATTGGATTGGATGCGCCTGCTAGAAGCCTAATTTATGTTTATATAGACGATCGATTGAGTTCAACCGTCCCTATATTCGCGCGGCATATTTCCTTCATGATCCTACATTCTAAGCATGATCCCCGAAATCCCCGGCTTGACCATTTCTTCTTCCTACACGCGAACTCTCTTCTATCGCTCAGCTCGTGTATATGCTTACCGACTGTTTCCCTGAGCCCAATAACTCAATCCAAATGTTGGGCCATTGGTCATGACTAATCGTAACAGGGTTTATCATAGCGGGCTTCTTATGGGCCGTATTTTAGGGTGTGAAACACAACACCAACAATTGGTATTATCAGTTTTGCCATCGCGGTTAGCACCATAACGTTGGACGTTAAAAACCGTTGATCTGGCGGTTGGACGACTTGCGACGACAACAAAAAAGAGAGATAAACACAAAACCTTAAATCCATAAACAATGCACGTCATTTTGTTGTTTTTGTTTGGAGTATATGAAATAATAAAATGTGTTAATTATAAATACTTTTTGTGACATAATGAAAAGTGTTTTTATAAAGTTGATATATATATCAAGAAACTGTTAGAAGAAACCCATATAAAAAGAATTTGGCTGTTGTTACTAATTACTGGCTAAAACTGATTTGTTTCTTAGACAATATTTTTAATGGTTTTTTTTTTTGTTATAGAGATTTTAATGTATTTATGGTTTTTCTCGTTTAAAACAGAATCGTACCTTTGGTGAATATATCAATGAGATTTACCAATAAATTGTTTTGGTTAATGTTTGTTTTTTCTCGCGTGATCGAGTTTGTGTTTTCAGGTAGGTGTATCCATTGCGTCTCTTTTTTGTCTTCTTCGGTTTGAATTGCAAAAATGTCATATTTGGTGTGTACATTTGTAAAAATGTCATTTAGAAGTGTCCATTTATAAAAATACCACTAATTATTGATTTTTAAAACCTAAATCTTAAAATTATAAACCCTAACAAATATTTTGACCTCTAAAACCCCTTAAA